AAATTATAGAAAATGTTACGTATTGTTAAGGCGTTGTAGGAGAGTGCTGAGTATCAGTGTTACTGTAAGTAAAAGTATCTAACCCTCTCCAGGGCCCATTTGGACTCGGACTTCGCCCAGAAAGCACACGTTACTTAAGGCTTGGTAGTAATGTGTTAGGTAGTAGTAGGAGTGCACCCTGTATAGAAATTATGATTTTAGACACCAACATCATATCTGTAGCTTATTTAGTTCCAATTATATGCACATTTTAGATAAATTTTTCAAAATGGCCCCCATTTGTATACCAGGTAAAAAATCAAGTGTCAACAGGGCTTAGGGTGACCAGGACGGATTAATTAGGATATCTGGCTATATTGACTGCTTCTAACATTCCACTCCCCCTAACTTGATTTCTAGGCCTCTTTTTTTATTTTTTTCCTAGTCTAAACGCGACTTCCGACTGTTTCCCCTTGTCACCGCCACATATTAGGCCAGGTACACACTGCATTAGCATCAATAGTTACTGATGGTCAGCCAACAAATCCATCCACTCTCTGCGAAGACTTATTATTATTATTATATTATTATTATTATTATTTTTATTATTATTTATTTAGGTGCACATGCACCAAGGACTGTCAATAGCAAATATATCACTGTCTTACAGTACTTGTAGGTGGCAGAAGATGTTGTACAATTTCAGTAATTATTATTATTATTAGAATGGGCTACCAGTTTGACCTATCTGAATTCCATTATTAGTAAGAATCACAAGAAAGAACTTTAAATACTTACCACTTGGCAAAGGGGTGTACTCAGGCATCGGAATGTCCAACTCTTCATTACAATAGTCCTGGTCATCGCAGCACTTTTTCCCAAACAAAACAGTGGGAGTGGTTTCTATACAATTGAAATGCTTCTCTGAGCCATTTTTTCCTATAGTCATTAGCTCCTCCTTAAGCATACAAATCAAAGAGGTTTCCAAACTTCCATCCCGTCTCTCTACAAGTTTTGCACACTTCCCTCCTTCTCCAGCATCACAGACATTATTATCACATAACAGAATATTGTTTGGATCATTACATGAACATTTGAGACCTGAAAAAACAGCAATATGAAAAATTTAATATTTTTGTGTATCAACAAATCTGAAAATTAATTTGAAAAAATGGATCACTTGAGAGAAAAACAGAATTTTTTCTACTAAACAAAATATTTACAGGTACTGTATTTATTAGCAATATTAACTGAACAATGTTAGCAGTCACATAGGCCTTGATTATTTATAATAACAGGCGATCTAAATCAACAGAGATCTAGCCATGTAGCATTTATAAACAGTATATGAACGTCCAGTAAGGACTTCAACTGTTTATAAAAAATAAACAAAATCTTGTTATGTAGGATAAATTTTGTTACCCTATTGTTTACCTTGTGCTTAACTCCATGCGTGGCTACCGCGAGGCTAACATTCTGCGTGACAACGCAACGCAACGTCCACACCACGACCGTCACACATGGTGTGAAGGCGGTACTGTGTAGGTTGCAAATTAGAGGGTTAGTTTTATGTTAAAAGATTGAAGATTGAATTGATACTTTGAAAAATTAATAAAATTCAAAAGGGTCTTGAATTGGAAGAAAGTTATTTGTCTTCTACGCACTCTTATTTATATTCATTTACATTTTTTACTCTAAAAACAACCAAAGTAAAGCTAAGTTTAAGTTTATACCAACATACAGGACTTATTCATTCATCATCTGTGTCAGTTTTCAGACATTAATAATAAATAACCATTTTTGCAACAGCTCTATATTTTACGTAGGCCTTCCTCCATCTGAAGACCACTTTTGGGAACAGGGTGTCCTTGGTCTTTAGCAACATTGGTCTCTAATTAGAATAAGAAATATAAAAGACAGTTATCCCTTTGGGACTGCAGAAAAGTGTGAAGGGGTCTTTATTTAGAGAGAGACCTGTATTTAGAAATTTCGTCTAATATTTGTATGTTTGTTTTGGAATAATATTGAGATACATTTTTCGATGACTGTAACAGCATAATGGCGTTTAGTTAGCATTTTCCTAGAATAATGAAAAAACAAGAATACTGTTTTTCTTCCAAGATATCGCAGGGGTCCCCTGCGATATTTGTTTTCACACTACACAAACCTGGCTACAACTTTTCACTAGTTGTTTCTACCCTATTTGCAAAATAGCAGCAGTTTAAAAAAGGATATTATTTACTGTAAACCTTGTTTCATGAACCTACGACTTGCTGACAAGATAATGGCCATGAAATACTTTTCAATGGTTGACTACTTCTCTTTGCAAACTACAGTCTTTGTAACTTTTACCAAATTTGATACTGTAGTAAGCTACAGTACACTGATGATTTCACTTGGCATAATAATCTAGATTTATCTTGACTGGATTATTGCAGTTTATTTATTATTATTGCTAGGTCATTCTGTGTTTCAAACCCACCAATTTTCTGAAAGTTTACAGTACCTCTTACTGAAATTTATTTCTATGCATACAGTAATTATGACCTTATGAAAAATGAAAAAGTATTGTACGTAATGTGCATACAAAGTAGTTCAATATTTTGCATTTTGTACCTTTACAGCACCTTTAAAAATTTGATACAATACAAAGCTGAAAATAAGTACCAGATTTTCAGGTGACACCAATCAACACCACAGATTTACATAACTTTTCGCTGGGGGACATCCAGCAGAGCAGCAGTTAACAAAACAAGCAAATACACTGCAGTTTTTATGCACCCCTACTTTTTTTTTTTTTGTTGCCATTTTGTTTTTCTAAGACTAGGCTACAACATAAACATTGGTAGCTAAACGAAATGCCTCTGGATGTCTTCCCCCAGTGGTTTTAGCAAGTTTCTCAGAAATTATCATTTCAAATATTTTCTCAAATCAGGAACTGTGTATAATTAAACTGGAACCTTGTCACCTAGTTGAAATATCTGGGGAGATTCAGAATGGAAAGGAGCTGACTAGTGGCGTAGGTACGGGCAATGCAGCCAGTCATGGGCAGCACTTGGGCCAGGGACTATGTATTGTTTGTTCACTTAACTATTTTGTACCTTAAAAAACTCCTTTTTATTTTCCATTGTGTTTTTTTTCCCTTTGGCCTTTTTAATTTACAAGGGATCACAGCAGAAATAAGTTATTTTATTTTAAATTTATTTTATGTGTTATCACTGGCATCTTTATCTGATCTTTATTTATTTTATTTTACTTTACCTCTCTTCTTAACATTTTTAATGTATTTTAACTTGTGTGTTTTTATGATGCCAAAAGAAAGAAATAAATAAATACATGATCATTTTAATTACGACTCTTTAAAAGCAATAAAGATGGGCCCGATCGTCTACAATAGCATAGGGCCTAGGCCTGGCACTAACGTTGCTAGGCACCTAACCTACTTCTACTCCTACTACTGCTGGCCTAGCCTAGCCTACTACTTCTATATGCTAGGCCTAGGCTAGGCTAGAATACTTATCATACTATCTCTTCTCTTACCAACTATACACTGTGGAACAATACAGGCTAAGAAAACAGCAAATATGAAATATCTAGGCGGTAGCAATTCCATGACATTCGGTGAATTCTTCAAATATTTTCAAGAAATCAGCGTTCACGAGTACCATTTTAATTCATAAACAAGATGAACACCCACAAGAAATCTCCATTCTTCGCCAAACACATTTCGTTCTTTTATCCTCTTGTGACCTCTGTGTGTGATCGGATGAATATCTAGAGGAAACCAGATCATATCGCGTGTTGTTGTGGTGCAAAGTCTTTGGAACTAGGAATGTCCAAATATTTTGCACTTTTAAACTCCGATTAACTAGGCCTAGGGCCTAGGCCTAGGCCCAGTAACTTTTGAATTATGTTGAATTTTACTTTAATTCTAATCAGACGATTTTGTTTATATCAATGTTACTTGCAAATTTATACGCAAAATAGTTCTTGGGGTTATTCATGACCTTTCAACTCAATAGATAAACAATTCGTAAAAAGGTAAAAACACGAATAATGGCGGTGGCTACCAAGTTGGTGATGGTGTTAAGGCTGAGGTTTTGGCAACAAAAACCATTCTAGATCCTACAGCATATTGTAAATGGGAGAGGAGGAGAACCGTCTGAAGGTATGGTATCTTTAGTTATGTGTTCGACGGAAGTTTGAGAAAGCATAAAAACCCAATGTCTTTTTTAAGCCTAGGTCTAGGCCTGAGGCTAGCCTTGCTAGGCAACGTTGTACCACAGCACAGTGTGTTATTACTACCTACCGGTACTACTGTAGGCCTACTACTTGGTAGGCCCGACTAGGGGCTAGGCCCTAGTAAAATAGGGCCCAGGCCAGGGCCTATTATAGGCTAGTAGCCTCTCCTTCTAGAGAGAGAGGAACGCATATCTAATTAAGAACAGGTTGCTTTATTTATTTAGGCCTAGGCCATTTTGTTTGTTAATACATTTATGTTGTGAATCTTGATAATTTTTTTTCTTTCTTTTTTTAATTATCATTTGCTCAACAAAAACATCAACAATATACACAAAACAAAAATTACATGAATATCGCACAAACGCCTAACGTACATCTTCTTGATTTAGCGTAGCATCCAGGATCCCCACTAAACAAATCTCAACTGTTGTCGTTGACAATTTTTTGTACCATATTTCTTAGCGATTCTGATGTTTGCGACATTTTCCATTGTGATTTCAATAATTGGTTAAAAATAGAAAAATTATGATTTCTTATATTTTTTATGTTCTACACTATATATAACCATGTCTTATCTGAATTTCATCTTTTTTAGCTTCCGTATATTTGTCGCACAACAAAACAAAATATAAATAAGCAGTATCCTAAATTCCTGTGTAATGTGCTTATACTTCACAAATCTTTAGCTTGTTTCTTTTTTCATTTTATTAGAACCTAAGAGATAAAAATAATGTTACCTCGGTAACATTTCCTTTCCAATCAGGTACCTTTCCTCAGACTGATTACAAGTTTGGATTAGTCTTATCCCGGCGTTGGTGTTCAGTTACACCCTCTAACGTCCGCTGTTTGACGGTAGACCATTCCCCTCAGCCCCCCCCCTGGTCTTTACTTTTTGTATATATTGTTAAAAACAAAATAAACCCAATCTTCATCTGGATCGCTTTAAGTGAGGTCACTGAAGTCATGTTGACTTTGTAAACATATAAACTAGTGGTAAAATGACTTGTAAAAAGCTGAAACACCGCATGTAAGTGCTGTTTGGTCTGAAGTTGAACCACTGGTAATATCTTACTTTTTTGATGAATAATAAAGGTGTAGGCGATAAAAACATTTCAAAAAATATTTGCTAAACGTGATTGCTTGAGGTTATTTATATGCAAAATTTTCTCATGAATAACACCTTTGATGGAGAGCACAGCAGATGCTCGTTCTTTGCTGGCAGACAATCAGCTAGAAATGTTAGGCCTACAGTAGTATGCGATTTTCGGTTGTCTTTCCAATACGATTTGTAGGCCTAGAAAACTTCCTTTACAAATGAGCCTGTTTTAAAGCCTGGCTCGCTGTCTGCAGCTCAGACAAGCAGCACTTTATTGGCCTAGAACTCGCTCTTTGTTCGAACGAAGGCATGCCTACAGCCAAGCAGCTAGAAATGTTAGTAATACTGTAGTACAGTGCGACTAGGCCTATACGATAATTTTTATTCTATACATATTCGTCATGGCGATTAGTCTTTGTATTGTATTGTTTTTACAGTGCAAGTTCGGGATCAGTGTGATGCATGGACCGCGGGTGTGCAGCGGCGGTTGAATATCTTTCACAGTGAGTTATGGTTGGGGTTAAAACATTAAGAAGATATTTCATGGTCCATGGATCGCACCTGATCCCACTTTTTGTCAATAATATTTTCCCCGGTATTTTTCTAAACACAACACATTCTTTGCTGTTACGATGTCACTTGCTATTTCATATTGCTTTTTTACGTGTATTAACGGTAGGATAATATTTTCCTAAACAACACATTGCAAATCCCTGTGAGTTTGTTATATCAAGAAGCATACTCAAAGTTAACATGCAGTTGTATTTACAGTTCAAGGGAAATCACAAAGACTTTTGTTGTTAATATAATTCTGGAATTCAGTGTGATTTGATGCAGAAAAACACATTCTTTGCAAAGTTTCTGCAGTGTACTGTGTTTGCTATTTGTGTTTTATTTTTTTTTTACTGGAGATACAGTATATTATGAATGTTGGCTTCCCATGTCTTTTTTTGCCATATTTTCAGTTCATTAACCTGAAATGATAAAGTATAGAATGCAAAATTAATTATTTGATGGTGAAAAATTAGTAAAATATGGAAATGACTATAGATTTTTTTTAATTAAGATTTACATACCTTAAGGGCACCCTTGCAGTATTATTGGTTTACAAATTTGCTGCCTAAAGTTTTTAGGTCAAGGTCAGTCTTATATATTTTTTGATGTAGCTCAAATTCATTACGGATGATACATACTTAGGACATTGTAAATATTATGTTTAATATGCTGTTGATATCAATTAAGGTCAAAGGACAAATGTTGCAGGGGTCATTATTATGCATAATCACAAGGCGCATAATTTAAATCAAAAACCCTACTAAGTAAATTTAGAGGTATATACAGCTAGTGCAAAATAGTGAATTACGATTATTTTTTGTAAACACACACACATAGGACCAACCTAATTTTTTTTCTAAATCGTACCTGTACAGTACATTGCTCCACGATCTCCTCCCCCACCCCACCCCGATATCGTTATATCTAAACTAAAAGGAGAATACTTTATGCCTAGGTCTTTGTAATTTTTTTCAACTTTTGTGTTATATTTAGAAAACTTTTGAATTACTATACCTCGTATTTACAAATTGTAATTTATAATAGCTAACAATATAGACTACAGCCCTGGCACATTATTTACAAATTGTAATTTATAATAGCTAACAATATAGACTACAGCCCTGGCACATGTCTAGTTTTATTAAGTTGTCATAAATGTGCAAAAGTTCATAACCCACTAAATCTCTGTTCATGTTTTTAGGTTGTTTCCTTTTGCAAGTGGCTTCTTTTACTTGCCTTTTCTCCAATTCACTTTTTTTCCCCAAAATTTTAACATCCCAATTAGTGACCTGATTAATCTGGACCATGTAGTCGGTTATTGCGGATTTATGTGGCGCATTCGATACAGACATCTTGCAGTTCTGGTTTTAACATATATTGTTTTAATTATTGTGTTGATTTTCTCCTTCATCAAATTTCAAGATTTTGTTTACCAGTGTGACTGGAAAGATAGGAGTACCATAGATCCTAGGCTCAGTTATGGCAACTACTTGGTACATCATGGAAACCGCACAGCAACATTACCAGTTGTCAGAGCGTTTAATACGTGCAGTAAGTGACTGGCGACTGAATGCACACGATACTGTGCTGGACCTCATCAACAAGGGAGCAGATGTAAACCAGGCTCATGGTACTCTTTTACCTCTACATTGTGCCTGTATGGTCAGTGATAACGAGATGGTACAACTACTCTTGCGAAAAGGAGCTAAGGTAAGTGGATTCATGTCAAAGCCTATCCACAAATCTAAATTGAGATAAGCCCAGGCTGGCTAGCCTAACATGAGCTTTGCATGTCCATAAACTAGCTTGTGTATTATGTCCTGAACTGAAGAAACTGAGCCATTTAGCACATGAAACCTGCAATCTGTTGGGATTCTATTAATTTATTTTTATTTATTTATTTATTCAATCGTCCAACAGGACCAAGAAGGTCCCACTTACAGGCGAAGATTGTAGTAAAATATTTCTATGTACAATATAAAAATATAAAATATTTAAAATTCATCAAATATCATGAAATCTATACAGGGTGTACGTACGACGCCCCTCGCTATAAAGTATGGTCAAAGAGGGCATCGTCGCGACGCCATACGACTGGAAAGGGATAACATGACTAAACACTTACAAGCTTGAGGAAGATTTGATTTTCATTCACTGTAGATTTTTTTATACATTTTCTAAGCCTGTCTTGCCAACAAAAGGGCCATGGCAAATTAGTTCCATGTTAAGCTTGGAACATCTCGGAAAATACCTCGGTATTTCTGAATGCTGACGCTAATTTTTAGGGGCTGAAGTATTGTGAGTCATTTGTTGTAAAATGCACAATTCCATGATAGGTTTTTGTTGCCACCTTAGTGTTGTAAGCTACCACATGATTTGATTTTGTTAACATTTACAGTTTTTTGTGGATGAAAAAGCTATTAGTGCAATAATAGTACCAAAATTATTGTTTATGGAAATTTTTGAATCAATGGTGACAATGCAGTTCATTTTTACACATTTAGGTTGATGTACTTGATGGCTACAATAGAACTGCTCTCCATTATGCAGCTGAGAAAGATGCGGAGTGCTTGGAACTACTACTTCTTCATAAAGCTAACCCAAACTCTCTTGATGCAAATAAGAACACACCACTCCATTGGGCATGTTTTAAGAACAAATCTGAGTGTGTCAGGATACTGCTAAGGTATGGAGCATACGTGAATGCGCTTGATTATAATGATGATACGCCGCTACTCTGGGCTGCATACAAGTGTAATTACGAGAGCATCTGTATTCTGCTTGAATACGGGGCAGAAGTACTTGTGATCAATGCAGGCAAGCATACACCCATTTCCCGCGCTGCCTGTCTACTAGCAAGCGGACTTGAACCTAGGGATGAGCTTAGTCTGAATTTACTTGTTCAGGCTGCAGGGCAATTTGATTTAAGAAACGAGGGCCACTTGCCAAATGTAGTGGAACGTGACCGGGATCTGTGCAATCGTATGTTGGCATACAGCCAGAACTGCCGTAGTCTACAGCAGCTCTGTCGATATCAGATACGTAAGTGCCTTGGTGCCAAATATCTTCCAGATGCAATAGGTAAACTCCCAATTCCGGTTATAATGCAGCGGTTCTTGTTGCTACAGGCTTGAAATTCTATGCTGCTGTTTACGTTTCATTGCACAGGGTCCAGTGTTTGGACAGAACAATGTAAATGCTCATAGTTTACATATATTTTGAACTTGCAAGGAACGCTTCAATTAAACATTAACATGAGATTTTAATAATACCAATCAGGAAATCAAATTTTTTCATGATGGTATCAATGAATGAAGAGTAATTATTAAACTTGATAGTAAAAGAACACAAGGCATTTGATGACATGATTAGTGTGTCATGTTAACATGTCCCCTTTTTAGCTACTCTACTCGGATAAGCTAAATTCAAATTCTTGTATTGTGTGGCCCATGTAATAAGTTAGTCAATTTGATCAGGGATCATTCTATTTATGGAAATTAGTAACTGAAGTATTACTAACAAACACGAAATTTATAATTTTTAAAATATCAAACATATCAGGTATTATATTTGCCGTTTTGTATTTAAACCATGGTATTATTACTAAATTATTATTATTATTATTATTAAAAATTAAACTTACATTTATTACAGATTAAATTCCTAATTGTTGGTGATTGAATAATAAAAACAATAATGATAATGACAATGAGAGATAAAAGGATTTAAAAACTGTATACACACTACACACATAATAAAATGTTTCAATGTTTCAGTGAGAATACATGCCATCATTATGAAGAAGCAATAATCTTCTTACATAAATTATTTTGAAATTCAAATAAACTTTATAGTAATACCTATGATGACTTTAATTAAAGAAGTTAAAATTATGTTTTGGATATTTGATCTCTTTTAATGATTTTTTGTTAAGAAATTGTCTATTAAAATTACATATTTTTACCAATTTTTTTTTTGTGGTGTAACAATGAACATGTTTTAATTAATTTTAATATTTGTCTAGAGATGACTTGTAGTGCAAAGATTTCATAGAATATATTATATAAACCTATAGAGACTACATTAAATATTGATATTTTTAATCACTTATCTTAAATGTATGTAAATTTTAACTCTGTTCCATGCTCTTTTTTTTTCTTTTGGTACAGAGTGTAATTTTAGTTAATTTTTATTATTTTTATATAAGTTTTTAGTAATCTTTTTTTCTTAAGAAATAAGGAAATAGATAACATTAATTGTACGTAAATATATAAATCTATCTTAATTCAATCCAAATGAAATTCTTCAAGTATCATTTGATATTCATTTAATTTTTTTTTTATCAGTAATCATTCCTTGCATTTATAACGTTTTCCAAACACCGTATTTATTTGAATAAATGCCCCCTCGAATAAACACCCCCTTCAGAACCTCATTTTGAATAAACGTTTCCCTCGAATAGACGCCCCAGAATGACTGTAAACAAAACTGATGGAAGAAACATAATTTTCAACACATTCAGTTAATTTTCTACTCCAGTAGAATGACATTTTATCCTAACCTGGTTTAAGTTGGGATAAATAATCTTTAGGCTTTGGTCACACAATAACACATTTAAATTGTAACTGTGAGTTGTAGTTCCACGTTTACAGTGAAATTAAAGGGTTTTTATTTGAGTGTATACATGTCCATTTTACAAAAAAAATAAATAAATGCCTCTCTGGAATAGATGGCTCCCTAAAAAAAACGCTCCATCGGATGAACGCCTTGTGGGGCATTTATTCGAATAAATATGTTAAATCTATATCATGATGACTATATTATTGTATAATATAGTCATTAGTATTTGGTTTTATTTATTTATGCCTTACCCTGTGCTTTTCATTTAAATTATAGTACACCCTCTAATATTCAAGAACACTGTTGGGGCCTGAAAATTTTAGTTGGTCTTAGGGTTGGGTCTCCAATTAGAGATTGAAGATTATAAGTTGGTATTTTGAATATGTGGTCTCGAATTGGAGGATGAACTGTATAACATAAAGAAAAGTCAGTGGTGGTACTGCACTGTAGGAAATATGGCCGCTGGTTGTGGTGTTGTAATTTTAGTTTGCTGTGTAGATTTTAAATTTATCAAGATGTAATCTAAATAAATATTTAAATACCATTGGAGTTTTCTATAATTTTAATTGTTCTGGTTTTTTTTTTACGATGATTTGCACTGTATTTATAAAAAAGATGCTTCATGCTCCTAATCAGCAGTACTTTCAGCATACCAATACATTCAGCATATACTCAGCACATGCCAATATATTCAGCATATACTCAGCACATGCCAATACATTCAGCATACACTTAGCACATGCCAATACATTCAGCATACACTCAGCACATACCAATACATTCAGCATACACTTAGCACATGCTAATACATTCAGCATAATACTCGGCACATGCCAATACATCATTGTACACTCAGCACATACCAATACATTTAGCATACACTCAGCATATACCAATACATTTAGCACATACACTCAACACATACCAATACATTTAGCATGTACTCAGCACATACCAATACATTTAGCATGTACTCAGCACATACCAATACATTTGGTGTACACTCAGCACATGCCAATACATTCAGCGTACACTCAGAACATGCCAATGCACTCAGCATTATACCAATACATTCGGCATACACTCCAAAATAACACCAGCATACACTCAGAAGTACCATTACATTCAGCATACACCAATACACTCAGCATATATACCAATACATTTAGCATATACACTCAGAAATACCAGAACATTCAGCATACAGTACTCTCAGCACATACCAACTAGGGGTAGATCCTGTTATTCTGTATAAATCATGGTATAGCTTGTTAACAATAAAATTTGTGCAAAAAATTTAAAATAGGTAAGCAGAGATGAAATTGTACCAGTTACATGATTCTCTGGTTGAGCACACTTTGCAAATGAAGTTTTTATTCACAAATACATAAGATAGAGACAAGCTAATTCTGGCTTATCGGTGAAACTCTACATATTATAAAATAAAACATGCAAAATGCACAAGTTTAAAAATTAATTAAACAAAATAGACAAACTTTTCTTTAAACACAATAGACTGACATATAGAGAGAATTTTATCAGCAAATTTAGAAAGTTTTACGGAATGTATTATTATCTACAGGTATTTGAAAGTTTTACAGAATGTCCAATATACACTATCAGATCCCACTTGTATAATTGTTCAAATCAACCCATCCTTTGCAGATCTAATCTTTGTTTGAGCACTGTATATATGTTCCAATATATTTGAGCTCTGTATTATCTATAAATCAAATAGATAATAATATAGTGCTCAAATATAGGAACATAATGTTATGAAATTGTTTCAAACATAATTCATTCTTATTATAGTTGTATGGGAAGAAAAAGAGGTCTCTGGGGAGCACCTATCGCTATCTCGGTGAGCACCATACTGTTCAGACTACAGAGGCTTGTACAGCTAAATTTATCTACCCTATAACTGTAGTTGCCATCACTCATTAAAAAATTAAGTTTTTGCCTAGACCATAGATCTGCAAAGGTATAGGTTGATTTGAACAATATAAATAAACAAGTGGGATCTTATTTCATTTCATTTTTCATTTCATTTCCTTTTTATGTCTCAGACAACAAATAACAAGAGACAAGAACAACCATACAGGATTCCAAACAGCGAACTGAATGAAACTATAGAAAGGGTCTCCTCATAAAACACATATCATTGTCACCCAGCTCATGCACCAAGGATTGTCAATAGTGAATATATCACTGTCCTGCTTGTATGCATGGAGGAAGTAGTTTAGCTAAACTAATTCCTCCATGTTGTAAGTGACAATCCCTTTGACAATACAATACACACACAATGCTTCACACAAGACGGGCGAGCGAGTTGAGTTGCCAGGCGGTAAGGCAGGGGCACTGCTAGCTACAGCCTTAACATCGGCGCTGGTTCCAGCTGCTCCTCGCCATGGTTCGGTTGGTAGGATCCGGTCTTCTCGGATAAGAACTTAAAATGGAGGTCCAGTGTATACATCTGGCTCGTGTGCACTTTAAATAAGCCATTGCATCTTTCGGAAAAGTAGAGGGTTACCTCGGTGTTATGGTTCATTTCAGCCCCTGTCGTGAAATAATGTGAACATGTATCTACCATGAAGCACTTCTTTGTGACTGCTAGGTAGTCACGGACCAATTCAGCACAATGACGCAGCAAGTTATATGATATTTTCCTACCTTTACCTTTATCTTTGCAAACTAAATCTCAATATGAGGTAACTCATTTTCAATGCAGTTCAATGGATTAGCATTGCAAGCCAATTGAGTCCATGCACTTAATATAGGAAGCAAATAATATCGTTGAACATCCAATTCATGGAAGCAATAAGGTTGATACTTATTCTAATAAAATATAGAAATTTATACAGGAATGAACTTACATGCACAAGTACAGTACATATTATATATCAGTAATACACAAAGATCATAGAGATATATATAGACACACATAGCATGAATTAGCTTTAATTATACAACACCTACATATACTTCATGTTTTATTGGTTGAATGCAGGTCATGTGGGATTCAGTTAAAGTAACTAATAGTCAACAATCGTAGAAAATTAGTTTTTTAGCTCCAAACCACAAATTCTCAAAATGCAACACCAAAGAGAATTTTCCTAGGCCCTTGTGACCGCATGTCAATATAACCCATGGTCGAAGACAAGTTTCGGTAGGCATCACTTCAAGTAAAGTGGGTGCACACATTACTTAACCTTTACAAGTTGGCTTCTCACCTGCATTTGAATGGATGATTAAGAACTTAGGAATTCCTGGGGACAATAGTAGTAATAATGGTGATTATTCATCCATGATAGTCCATTGAAGATGATACCTGTTTGCTGAAATATTGCAAGATTTACCCCTAGGAATGTTTTCTTAATTTGTCTGGTTTTTTTTCATTTGGCTTGTTCAAACTATACTGATTTCTAAAATATAGTCATTTTGTCTAATAAGCAGAGATGATCATAGACCTGTCTCTTATACACATCTAGATGTGTATAAGAGACAGGTTATCAAATCGAGACAGGAAAATTCGAAAGTGCACATAATTGTTGTTCATATCACTTTTCATACTACACAAGAAGAAAATTAGTTTGAGTAAAATACACATTAATTTTCAAACAAAAAGTCACCTGCCATGATTCTCATTTCGTATAAGTACTACTTGTTCATAACAGCAATTAAGTAGTTGTCCTTGGTCACAAGATGAATGTTATATAAAACTAGTGCTTATAATCTGTATTAATCTCAACGCATTATTATCTGCTTCATGTTCTAGTATTTAATAAATGTGTATTTTATTTAACATTCACTTTCCTCTCAAGTGCAGTTTCTCTAATTAGGTCCAGATGAACATTTTTTTATTTGTCTTGTACCTCTATTAATTAAATTAATTAAAAAACGCATTTTATAGGAAGAGAATAAATTTATCCTGATTTTATCTCCAAAATAATCTTTTTTATTCATAACTTTAATTAAACTTGATTTCATTTAAGCACAAACTGAGTGAACCATACTGAGTCAGTTGAAATAAGGACACGGAGGAGAATAAATAATAAATAGGTAAAAAAATAAATATGTGAATTGGATATTTTTAGCAAACACATAGTTTTTGATGCAATTATGGAAAGAGTAATATGGTGGGCCTTATCTTGTACAGTCAGCTGGGAGTAGCCCTAATTTTATTATACATACCAGTTTTCCAGGTAGAAGTTGCTCTTATTCTGTTGGGAAGTATTCTACTTGTGTGTCCAAATGATGTTGAAGTCTAAATCAAAAATGTGTGTGCTTTATAAATGATTTCTCAGAATATGATATTTAAAACTGCATTATGCTATCCCCACGTTATTCAACCTCTGGCCTGCGAGCCAAATCCAGCCTGCCAAAGATTTTGATCTGGCCTGCGCAACATTGCTAAGTTTTTTTGTTTTTGTTTTTTTTTTATTATTTTCTAAAATGGAGAAGAAAATAAAAGTATATTCAGATTAATTCTGAGAGTGTCATTTCCGACCATCTAGAGGTGCCATAATCATAATTTTTTGGACATCAGACCCAACCATGGTGGGGCTGAGGTGGTTTATTGTCTTTCCTGGCCCATTTTATTTCGAATTCACCACTATAAAAAAAAATGGGTTGGGCCAACATAGACAAAATGGAAGTATGCAATTTATGTTGGCCCGCCGCTGGTCTCAACAGATTGGAACTGGCCCCCAGCTTAAAGGGGTTGAATACCCGGGTGCTAGCCTATCTCGGTGTACTGGGAAAACAGATACTTAAGAAGAACTGAGCATTTAGCCACAGAGGTATTTGATACCTCCATGGTTTAGCAAAGGTGTAAAGGCTACCTTTTGCAGTTTCTATATATATTTATTTATCTATTAAGTGCACTCCAAGCTTGTTTAATCATGATTTCCATGTCCATGTCACTAGACAAAATCCAAGAACCAAATTTACTTGATCATTTACATGCTTTCAGCAGCTTGTTTCCTTTTAGAATAAGGTATCTGATTGGTTGATAGTAGTGTTTTTTTTTCAATTTTCATGCAGTCATTCTATTTTATCTGTGACATGTAGTCTCAGCAAAAGAAGGTGTGCCTGTTCCAAGTGATTAATCAAGGTTATCTGTGAATATAGTGTGATGTATGTAGCAGGATGATGAGAGATGTGATGCATTGGTAAACTGAAGCTGATGGTGCTACTCGTGATTTTGTGAAGTCATAGTCCAGGTAACTAATAAACAAGATGACATAATTGCATCATTTATTACTGCCTTGGACTACGACTAGAAATGTGATGCATTGGTAAAATGAAGCTATGGCGTTCTCTTGTGGCTTTGTGAAGTCATCGGAGCACTGCTCACTTGAACTAGCTGGTGCTGCTTCGTGGTGATGAAGTATGCTGCCACTAAGCAGCACTAGCAAATATTGGTGAAGAAATAAAGGATTAATTACATTGTTCTAAGTACAAATATTCTCTAAACATGCTAATTTTTACTAGGTAACTACTCCTAACATTTTACTGGTTTGTTAGACCTACTGCTGTGATATTCATCAGATGATTATTA